GATCTCAATAAAACTAGCTTCAAAAGAGTTTTCCTAATTTTCAACCTTTAGATCATCTATTACTTTAAAATCAAGTTCATAAGATACTAAAATAGCAGATCCTCCTCTTTTTTTAATTTTCTTCATTGGACTTTCATTGGTACAGAGGAATTTCTATTAGAACATGTTATGGAATTATTAAAACAATTATCTTTTCCTACAGTCATCCGACAAAGTTGGCTTCCTTGTACTGTTTAAACTTTGCCGTACGGTTTATACTTTGCCGCACATCAGGATTCCAACGAAACAACACAAAACATCGTGGTTCTATTATGCACGTAATCCGTGTACGCTTGGAAATAGGTTGGCAACACTTAAAGATAATAATACTATGAGCAGCTGAATGACTATTATAACTACGATTTAACCTATAATTTCGTGTTTATAGTTTCGGTATTTCTGAACTTTCCGGACTTTTCTTTTAAACGTTTTTAAAACATTCCTACGATCTTAATAAACAAGAAAATACCTTTAAAGCATTTTTTTTTTGCGCGGAAACCACTTCAAATTACAAAAACATACGGAACTATATTCTCAAAACGCGGAGCACATTTCTTGCCGAGGAAAAATAGCGGAGTGATACAGACCGGTTACTACTTTCTCTAGGGCACCTATTTGTGTTGCCAGCTGAACCTAAAAACGTGTTGTATAGTGTTTGAAAGACTAATTATTTATATGCTTTATAGTGACTGTAGGAAAGATGTAGTGTGTAACACGAGTGCAAAAGGCCTTTGCTGCACTCGAGATCATTCCTCTCGTGTGCAGCAAAGTGCCACTTTGCCCACTAACTATTTCTAGATAACTATTTCTTAGATCCCTATATATACATACATATATATATATATACATATATATAGTACATGCAGAAATATTTTCTCCATCATAAAGATCTACTTTAAAGCTGGAACTTTGGAGCACAGGAGGGGAGTTACATTTATTCTTATGGTGAATATTATAAAATGTTGTAGTTGGCTTGTTTATGGATATGTTTTGATCAAACTTGGCAGATTTATTAATTTTATACTAAGATATTAATATTTTAATTTTAAAAAAAAACTCACTTTAGGGTACTAGTTTCCTTGTAGCAGCAAACCTAGGTACTCGTTAAACAAAAATCTATTATCTATTATATTATTAAAGTGATACAATCAAATTTTATGCAAACGGTTAAGGCCATTTACCAAATAAAAATATAGGCATATGTCACATCAAAATGAAGCTTAGAGTTTGTAGATTTGTCGAAAAGTATTGATATCGACGAATTTCCTAAGGGCTCTGCCCCACAGGCTGATTTCCAAAGGGCTACGCCTGGCATGCTTCCAAAGTTTACATGATTTAATTTAATTTAGTTAATGAAACAGCTGGTCAGTACAATGAACTGATGTTTGTTTATTTACTCGAAAAAGATGTTTGTGATGCTATATGTAGATTTAGGAGGGTTATGTTTGGTTTAAAAGAAAGGTTGTATATGTTTCGTAAAGTATTGCTCAAAGTTTCATTTTGTAATTTATATAGTAAGCTACGTGTAAAGAGGCTTGACTAAAGTTGAAGAATTATGGTAAAACATGTCATTCGTGAAGCATCAAATTGAAGCAATTGATGCTGTTGCTACACTAAGGTATGTTGTCATATACTTTTGGATCTATTAACATAAAAAGTAGGAGTTTGAAAGTGAGTAGGTTTACACTTTTAAATCAGTTTATATTTTCAAACTAAATCATAGACTTGCCGTCTTTAAAACACACATCAGAATTACTTTAGTAGCTCTCTAGGTCACATTTTCTTCCCGTTGCAAAGCATGGGTATAGCAGCTTGTGTTAATTTAATAGATTAAGTGAAAACCAATCCAGGCAAAAGGGAATTTGTTTGGTCGGCAGTTTTGCTGCAGAGGGGGTATTTTATTCTCCTCACCACATATACCCCAGTATTCATCTTTTTGCAGATATTATTGACATGTTCGTTTAACGTGAGGTTTTTGTCTAGAGTTACTCCTAGAAACTTTGTACTTGTTTGTTCCAAGATGTTTAGGATGTCGGGAATAGGGTCATGTTTTTGTGCTGAAGTTAATTCTGGAGGTTTTGTTTGGGTTAATTACAAGGTCATTTTTTTTCTTATGTACAGTAGTTCAGGGCCGTGGTCAGGGATATAGTTACGATGTCATAAATGGCATCTGCCGTGGTGTTGTTTAGAAGCAATGTAGTATCATCAGCATACATAACGCAAGTGATAAATGGGTTTTGGATGTAGTCAGGAAAGTAATTTGTTAAAAGGATAAAGAGAATTGGGCCAAGGACGGAACCTTGAGGGACGCCTTGTTTCATGGGCTGAAGGTTGGACCTGAATGTGATGGTGCACTTGTCAACTATGTATTGTGTCTCCCCTACTTGTTGTTGTCCTTCCACAGCTTACAAACCACTTGTTTGCTACTTCTCTGACTCCTAGTGTTTTAACCCACATAACCATTAAAAAATGCAAATCACAAGTTTGACGAACTCACACACAACTCGATATAAAAAACAGCGATCCGCACAATAGGAAAGGGAGGAGCTAACGGACCTAGCTCAGATAGTTCACGTGTCATTGGGTAGGGGGAGTGGCTGCAGGTGGATGCGCAGTACACGCTGCGCATCAAAACACTGTCAATTCACTACACCGCCGTACGGGGTGGCGTCATCATTGTGTCTACGTGGCACTCAGTTGAATGTTTGCGCTTGGTTTTAGTTTTAGCGAATTTCCCATATAGGGAATAAGCTATTACCGTAGGTCTCATGGTAAGACCTAGACCCGGGACCGATTTACTTTTTCGTTTTGAGGTCCCCAGAGGCCAAAAACACCATCCGTTCAAATTCATATATATATATATATTTATATATATATATATATATATATTTATATATGTGTCCGTTAGCGCGATAACTCGAGCAAAATTGATCCGATTTTGATGAAATTTGGTACAAACGTGTAAACCTACATTTATTCGAACGAGTTCGCGAACCAGCATAATCGGACCATGGGATCAGGGGTTTATGGGGGGTTTTATGGGGTAAAAATGGGTTTTTCTCATTTTTGACCCTAAAAACTTAAAATTTCTAAATTTCTCTCTAGACCATTTTGAAGAGCTTAAAAAAACAAATAATTTAGTATATTGAAGTGTTTTTGAATGTTCATTGACTACGGAGAAAATTTAAAAAAATTGTAAATTTAAAATTCCCATGTTATTCTTATGGAGAATAAATAAACTGTTCTAGTTTGCTTGTTTATGGATATATTTTAATCAAATTTGGCAATTTGGTTTATTTCATACTAAGCTATCAATATTTCAATTGAAAAAACACATCTCAACATCTTCCCTGTAGCAGCAAACCTAACTACTAACTAAAATTAATGTTATTTAAATAGGAAATAAATCTGAAAATTTATAGGGAATATTTTAGTAGAAATCAAGCCGGGTAAATGGAAATTCGCTTAGGATGCAGGTTTGCTGTGACGGGGGTATTTTATATTAAGTTTAGAGCCGATTCGGATGGTTGGCGATTCAGTTAACCCTCCGAGTGTTATTTGTCGATGCTTCGACACATAACACACTTTGTGTAGTGTTTTGTGTTGATGCATCGACTCACAAACACTTTACGGCGAAGGCTCTATGACTGACAAAATCGGATTGAACTGGATCGAGTTAGGTATCGTTTTATTTGACAGATTCAGAGCTTTCTCCGGAGGTCTGTCTCTAAGCGCTTTTCATTTTAGTTCCGAAAATATTGTAGCAGACAGCTGACGTGCGTATTTGTAAACAGCTTGGTTAACCTCGGACCGATGACTGATGTGTTTTATTACGTTTATCATTGTTTTAGTGTTAAAATCAAAAGTAGTGATATACGTGGGGCATTATAAGAAGATTTAAGTGATTTTGAAGGGCTGGTTGTTGATCCTGAAGAAGTAGGTAGTGATATTGATGTAAATTATCAGCCAGATTCCTAGCTATGGTTAGGCTATGCATTCTTAGCTAAACGCTATGCACTGAAATCTGATTTTTGCCCATTACTTATTTATTTGCAAATCTACTTCCTTATATTATTATATATTTGTAATCCTCATAAAATTTAGAACAAAGTGGCTATTTTCAAATATTTATAGGCCTATAATTTATACAATTTCATTGAACGCAAACTTATTTTTTATTTTTTTTTTCAAAAATATTTTTTTTTACCTAAAAATTTTTTTTGAAACAAATGTCCCTTATTTTATTTTATGTATAATATTGAAGCCCATGATTTTCCAAACAAAATGGTATATAGAACAGTATAATTAACATTGTTTTCAAGCTTCTCAGATCCGTTTTAATAAATCCTTGCAAATGAGCAAAAAATAGGCAAACATTAAGGCCAAAACAAGGGACACTCGGAGGGTTAATCGGCGTTTTAAGCATGGACCTCTGTTGTCATATAGCACAAACCGGTAGCCTATCAGTAGCATTAGCTTACAAAAATGTCAACGCTTTTTGTTTTTACATAATTTATTACTTTACAGTCTTTAGTTAATTTGTTGATAAGTTTGGGTAAGCTATGATTTTAAACGTTATAGTTAGTATAACTGAATCACAGTCAATGACTTAAAATATCATAATTACACAATATTAATGATTACGCAATATTGATATTTGGTTGATATGTAAATACAAATACAGACATAATTGTCTAATATCACAGTAAAACAGTGTCTTTATGGGTTTATATATTTTTACCAAGTTGGATTAACCGTGGTTTTCACTATCCATGATCTCTTTGCTTCCAATTACCCCGGACAATCAAGTATCTACTGTACCTGTAACTAGAATTTTTCTCATGGTTTCAGTTATTCCAGGTTTTGGTTTAGCAGGATGCAACTAAAAATAGTTTTATTATACCTTATTTATCTCAAACCTAAGTCGTTTCATGCTGGCATAACACAAAGCAACTACTTACTCTTCAGTTGAGTGTTTTCGATGGAAAACATATTGAGTGCCAGTAGCTGCAGTAGCCTGGTGTTGGTCAAGGGGAGGGGGGAGTGCTGAAGCAGGGCTCTCAGCTGTCTCAGCATCTGCAGTGCTGCTGATGGGAAACTCTCCATACTGTCAACACAACAACGCCCCTGTCAAGTTACAATTCATGCGTTGATTTTTTAAGCTCATAAATTTTTAACTTGTTAATTGTTGAGAATGGATAGTCTGCAACACATCTGAATCGTCAGCCAGTTCAACGACATGCAGACCAAGATATGACAGTTCAATCTCACCCTGGAAGCCTTAGTTTATATAGAGTGGTACCCCTCATATCTGACCATGACGGATGACAGAATGTCGTCCATCCCTAACTAGTTAACGTTACAAGTTGTTTGCAAACAAAATTGTTGTCTGTATTAGCCTACATATTTTTACAATGTTACAAAATGTAGTTTTTTCTTATTGTAAAAGATTTGCGTTTTCAGGAAATGTGTAATTTTGAACTATCCTATAGTCCACGCCACCCTAACTTGAGGCAGCCCAAGGCCGCGCCAGATATATGGCGTGCGGTCTTGGGCTGCCTCAAGTTAGGGTGGCGAGGACTATAAAAACTTTCCTATAATCAAGTGTCGTCATAATTATAATCTGTCTAAATATATATTAGTGATGGGTCGGTACTTCACGTCAAATGTCGGTTCCGCCGGTTCTTGGCAAAAGAACAGGAATCGAAAACCGATGGTGAAATGTCGGTACCGATACCTTCTCACCGATAAACCCGTCACCGATAATGCCAGAAAATTACTGGTAATAAAATAAAACTAACAAAAAAACTAACAATAACTAGAGGTCTCTATCACAATCCAGTAAAAAATGGCAGCTGATTGATTCCTTTAGAAATCAGAATTAACTTGCAATTGTATTCAATTGGCTGCCATATCTTACTCTGTAAAGATAGAGACCTCTAGTTTGCATTGTTAGTTTTATTTTATTACGACCTTCAAAAAGAAGGGTCACTTGATGGGGCTTAACCTTTAAAATTTTCGAGTTTCCCCCAAAATCCCCCATTTTGAGGGTGTACACCAAGTGGCGGTTATGCCCAAACAGTACTTCATAACATGCCATAAAGGTGTGCCGAGTTTAGTTTTACTAGTATGGGCCATTAAAAAATTAACAGGGGGTCTCCAGACTTTTTAAGTTTATTGTTATTGACCTGTATTAAATAAAATAGAGTTTATTTTATGATGTAGTATTGTTACTTAATTTTTATATTTATATTTGTTGGCTTTCAATACTTCTGGTTCATTCTTAAATCAGCACGAACCAAAAAAGTTGATAGTCAGTGTTTACTGTCTATTTGATACATTATTGCATGCTATGAATAAATAGATCTGAAATTAAAAATAAAGATTGAAATTAATAAAAGTGTGTGTAAACTAAAAAGTTCAAAGAGATCAGCGAGGCCTACCAAAAAGATAATAGTTACTAGGTGGCGTTCGCAGATGCATCCACAAAATTGAGCGGAGCCATCAAGTGTTCATATTATATTGTTTTTGTCATACTGCAGTAAAACAGTCGTCATTGGTGCATGCGTTGCGGGTCTTAGGTAGCATTTTTACTCTTTAGGGAATAAAATTCGTTTTTAGCCTCTATGGAGTAAAATTCAGCTGTTGTCAACTCAGTTGTAAATTTCTATTTTAAACGATTGAATTTGTATCAAAATATGTAACGATTTGTGCTTCATAATCATTTTAACCTACAGTCTACAGTCTCTTCCCATAGCATTTTAGGATTGCAGATAAATTAATGTAATTGCCAAAGACAGTTCCCACACTCTGCACTGCAAGCCTTACTACTTCCTTCACCATTTCCTATGTCATAGACCTGTTTCCTTCCCTTCTCATAGCATTTAAGTATTCGATACATTTATCTAACTGCCCAAACAGTTCCCTCACTCTGCACTGCCAGCCTTTACTACTTCCTTCACCACTTCCTACGTCGTAGGGCCTGTTTCCTTCCCTTCTTATAGCATTTTAGGATTGAAGATACATTAATCTAACTGCCACAGACGGTTCTAACAATATGTGCTACAATATGTCTAACATACTTTACTACTGCCTAAGCCACTTCCTACATCGTGGACCTGTTTTCATCACTTTCCATAGCATTTTAGTATTTTAGATAGATACGTTAATGTAATTGCCACAAACATTGCCCACACTCCGCACTGCTATCCTTTACTACTTCTTTCACCATTTTCTATGTCGTGGGCATGCTTTCATCCCTTCTCATAGCATTTTAGCATTGCAGATACATTAATCTAACTGCTACAAACGGTTTCCAGTTCCCAAATTCCACACTGCTCACCTTACGACTTCCTTCACCTCTTCTTACGTCGCAGACCTGTTTCCCTCTCTTCCTTGGATTGTAGATACCAAGATAACTTAATCTAATCGTCATAAACAGTTCCCACACTCCGAAAAACTCGCTTTTACTGCTTCCTTTATCACTTCCTACGTCACGGACCTGTTTACCTCCCTTCACTTAGCATTATTGGAATGCAAATACCTTAATCTATTGGTCATAAACAGATCCCACACTCCGGACAGCTCACATTGACTACTTCCTTCACCACTTCCTACGTTGCGGACCTGTTTTCCTCCCGTCCCATAGCATTTTAGGATTGTAGATACCTTAATCTAATAGTCATAAACAGTTTCCACACTCCGGACAGCTCGCCTTGACTACTTCCTTCACCACTTTCTACATCGTGGACATGTTTTCCTCCCTTCCCATATCATTTTAGGATTGCAAATACCTTAATCTAATCGTCTCGTAAACAGTTTCCACACTCCGGACAGCTCACCTTGACTAGTTCCTTCACCACTTCCTACGTCGCAAACCCGTTTTCCTCCCTTCCCATAGAATTTTAGGAATGCTCATACCTTAATCTAATCGTCTCGTAAACAGTTTCCACACTCCGGACAGCTCACCTTGACTAGTTCCTTCACCACTTCCTACGTCGCAAACCCGTTTTCCTCCCTTCCCATAGAATTTTAGGAATGCACATACCTTAATCTAATCGTCATAAACAGTTCCCACACTCCGGACAGCTCGCCTTGACTACACTTCCTTCACCACTTCCTACGTCACGGACCTCAAGCTAGTGACGTCATTTGATTATATTTATGATCCATACTACCGTTTATGTTCTAATATCTGTGGATTAATGCTATCCGCTATTTATTTATCTTCTGCATTCAAAAGTCAACAGCTGATCACACAATTAATTTCAATAAGTTAATGAGCAACTATGCGACAATTTTTTCTAAAAAAAATAACAGCCTACAGTGTTAAAGAATCGTGTTGCACTGTGCAACAAAATGTGTTTCTTCGGGTGCTTTAAACATTCATTCCATAGTTTTAATTAGTAACAAATGTGTTTATGTGCCTGATGATACCAAGAACAAGGCTGGGCAGAGTGGATTCACTGTGAACCAGCCGGGTACGACACGTAACTACAACCATAGATAAAACATAGCCTACTCCCTTGTGTTGGTTAGTCTATGCTACAACGATCGATTGGAACAATTGATGTTTTGAGCCAAAATATTCATATTGATATATAATCGGAAAAATTGATGTTTTATAAAAATATTATATAAAGCCATATGCCAAGATTTAGTTAACTGACATAATTGAACGTCAAATCTAGTAGGTCTTTGTAAGACAAAAGAAAATCACACCGTTTTAAACTTTAACCTAATTTTATACTCTTTATAAACAAACACGTCCTACATAACGGTTCTTGATATTAATTTATCATGTATCTTATCTAAACCCTTCCCACAATAATAGACTCACACCCAAATAACGACATCAAAGCAATCGTCACTTGCTCCATTGAAACACGAACGTCGATTGGCTGACATGACAGTGCAGCGTGGCCTCTCGACCAATGAGAACTCTTGTTACATACTTGGATTTATCTTAGATAGTCAACATTTACCATTCATTATAATATTACAAAATCAACATGGACTATGCGTATGGTGTTTTTCAATAAATACTTATGTTATAGTAGCACTAAAAACTTCACTTAAACTCTTAAACTAGTTAGATATTACAGATATAATATGGATCTACTTTTTGGTGCTAATACTATCTAAATAGGATAGTATACTTTTTTTCGTAATGTGTTAGCTACGTCTCCAGGGCAAGTGCAAGCCTAACCCTCTGACTTCGACGATGTTGTAATTGAATCAAATTTTTCTAATGATGCGTAATGCAGGGATGAAACTGAACATTTAGACAAGTTTAGGTTATTTATTTTGTTCTAAAAATAAAAATAATAGGTACATTTAAAGGTCTGACTTATTGATACAGACATTTTTTAGTATAATTTCGTGTTGAGGACACTCGCGCGCCGGTTGTCTGAGACTGAATTCTGACTGTCTGACATCTTGAAATGTAGATTGTATTGTGTTGTGCAATATCATCTGCCTGCAGAGAGAACAGCTGAAGCTAAACTTTAGCTGTTTTGAACTAAATAGTATGCCAAGTTGGTTACTAAAGTTGTTAGCGTGATTACAAAACTAATAGATATCAAATAAATAAATGTTACAATAAAATATCTATCCATCCCTGTCGGGTGTCGGTATCAGCGGAATCCGGCGAAATCGACGTTTGGCAATCGATTCTTGATACCGATATTCCTAGTATCGGCAATGTCCGAGTATCGGTGGTAGCGATAATTGACACTTCCCTATCTAAAACTCATTTTGGAGTCCGAAATTAGTTTTAAATATGCATCGGGACGCAATCGTTGCATCGGGACTTAATCGATGCATCGGTCTTTTTCGATGCATCGAGGCCAAATCGATGCATCGTGATTTCGATGCATGCTGAATCAAATCAAAATTTTGATGCATTTTCGATGCATCGCACACCCTTAACTATATATAGCATTGGGTTTGATTGCCTCGGACATAAATTACTGTCCGACACAAACAACAAACAAAACAAACTGGATAGCCTAGGAGTAACTGGCTTGGCTAATAAATGGTTCAGAAGTTATCTGAAGGCCGCTCACAAGTTGTTGGGCTACAACACTCAGTAGAAAACCAGGCATA